AGCCCAAAGGGACACCGAAGCCGTTGTTTTGGGGTATTCGTTCGCTTCGGAAGTAAGACACAAGAAGCAAGCAAAAGCGACCCCGCAGGGGTACCATTTCGTTTCGACACGCCTTCTCTTAGGTCTGCATGCGAGCGGCATGAGTATGCCACTCCTCGACCCAGCCACTCCGAGCGCAAAAAGCGTTTCACGGATTTTTGTTTTCAACTTTTTTGCGCTCTTCGCGCAGATTTTCGGGCCTCGGCGGAGTCGATGCGTCCCTAAGAGAGACAAAAGCTGGTCCGCAGCTTGACTAGCCGACGGCTGGAGCCATTTGGTCGTCTGCTTTCCCGACTTGGATTCTCCATAAATATGGGTGTGTCGTTTTTAGGGGACCCTCAAAATAGCAGTTTTCTTTTTGGTGTTCCTTCATGAAACCCACCGAAAAGAGGCGGTAACCCCCAACAAATTGACAAGCCCATAGGGGCTCCCACCAACCAACATGCATCTTCCCTTTAAGGGGAACGGGTCCCGAACGTCAGGTTCCAGTGAAAAGGGAGGGAGGGGACCTGGATTGGGTGTTGGGAATGAACCGGTTTTTGGGGATTACACCGGAAGGGGGTTCTCTCTCTCTCTCTCAGTTCTTTGCTGCTACTGTGGACGCTTCTCTTGGCCCAAAGGAAGCCTCGGGCAGCCCCAAGACTTGGACAGCTTCGCAGGGCGCGATGCCACAAGTGGAGGGACATCTCACTCACAGCCAAAAGCGAATGTTGATCCAGTTTTAACAAACCAGTTCGATTACTCCTCTAGAAGTGATGAATCCCCACTAAACGAGGAACCAGGGGCTTGTCATCCAGGGTTCCCATTAGGAGAGCTCATTAGGGATTCTTGTCGCATTCGCGAATCCATCTCGGTTCAAGTGTTGCCGGCTTTTCTTCGGGCTGGTCGCTTGTTTTCTTGGGACTTAAACCCCGCGCGAAAAGTGAACTGTTTGCTGCTCGAGTCGCAGGTTGACGGCATCCATTTTTCTTTCCGCGTCTGCGCAGGTCCTTACCGCGCTGGCGCAGAACAAGGAGGAGGACTTGCTGCAGGAGTGCATCCAGGACATCCGGATCTCCGGTTTTCGGTGTGATGGCAAGGTCTTCATCTTGCTTTCTTTTTTTTTAAAAGACAACACCAACACCTCTCCCAAAGAAATGGGCCACGGAGTTTGTTTTTTGTGTGTTTTAAACTACCCCACAAAAAAAACTGGCAGCACGTGAGTCTCCATGGGAGATGGGTGCTTTGTCTTTGTTCTTTTTGCCCAGTCGGCTTTTGGAGTCGAGAGAATACTTCCAGAGCGAGCGCGAGGCGGCAAAAGATCTGAGCTTCCGGCTCCTCATGTTTGGGTTGAAAGCTTCAGCCTTGAAATTTCCGGGTCCCTCCCGGGGCAAGTGGTGCGTGGGTGATTTTTGAGGGCTCGGTAGAGGTGGATTTAAAGCGAAGCCACAAGGACCACTAATATTTTGGGGGTCTCCCTATTTGGATACAGTAGCCTTTTGGGCCATTTGGTTCTTTGGAGGTGTGTTCAGAATTTCCGAGTTTCTGTATGATCCATTTGGAAGGAGCAGGGGGGTACGAGCTCAAACAAATCAACCACACAAACCAGTAAAACGAGCCCTAGTTTCCCCGAGTCCTCTTGGAAGAAGGAATCAGGTACTGCAACCCTCAATCTGTTTGGATTGGGGAAGTGCGCCCATGGGTACATGGTTTCCCCCAGCAACCCCAACCACAGAACTGGTGCTTTTTGAGGGAAGCGGGCAGTAGACATTGGGGCGCGATGTCTCCAGAAAGCGTCTCCGACTTTGGAACCAAGGAACATATTTGTCCCAACTTTCTTTCGATTGTGGGTGGTTGTCTCTGAAACCAGCCAAGAAGCAAAACGGGGTGCCCCCTATTTGGAGACAGACCCATTTCTCGACACATGAGCAGCGCCCAAGCCAGTTTTTTCCCCAACAGCTGAAAGCTAGGGGTTGATAGGCCCAGAAGCTTGCAGGGGGAGTTCCGCAGATTTGGTTTCAGGGGCTTCCGGGGCTGTTGCGGATACACTTCTGTTTTTTTGGTTGGGGAGGGGACGAAACTGCCAAAAAAGACTGTAGCAGCTACCAAGAGTAGCAGCTACCAACAGTAGCACTACCAAGCAGAAATAGATTTTGTTGCAGCTGCAACAAACATGCGGCGATCCCAGGCTAGGTACTTGTCTTACTGGGGCAAGCGACCAAACCACCTGCAACCCATTTTTTCCCCGTTTGGGTGGGGTCCGTTTATGGCGCCCAAAACGGATCAAAGCCAAAACCCAAGGAGCTTTGGGGGGTGTTGTTCTGCATTCAGGTCCGGGTTGCCCTTCGTGAAGGTCGCTGATATGTTGTTGGATCGGTTCTGAACAGGGGTTCTTATGATGTTGCCTTCCTGGAGTGTTTCAGCATTAGTTTGGGGCCCATGTTTCTTTTTTGAGAGCGCCCAATTGTGTGTGCCTGAAGGGAAACAGAATGAAAACCACAATTTAGGGGAGACCCAATTGTGTGTGGTGCCTGAAGGGAAACAGAATGAACACCACAATTTAGGGGAGACCTCAAGACACACCCATGTTGAGTTTTCATTCCTGGGTTTGCACAACTTTGAACTCCCACAAACGGTATAGTTGAAAGGGACACTGCCCGGCTCCCCCAAAAAAGAGCCCATGTGGTATCGCCGCTCCTTTCGCGGGTTTTGACGTTCGGAGTCGGAGTCAGACTCGGCGAGGCGTTCACGGATGTGGCAACCGTGGAGCCTGACTTCTTCAAGGCCGGTGGGCGGCAAGGGGTCCCTTCTCGGGTGAATCAGGCGAGTCACAATCAAAACTCGGGTAGATGAAGGTTAGTCAGGGACGACTTTTCAACCATAAATAGCTGCGGAGATCCGCCTTCTTCATTCTTTGTCCGGTTCTGGGATTACGACCATTTTGATACCGGGTTTTGAGCAAGTGACTCAGGTGATTGAATCTACCGGATCTCGTTCGAAGTGTGTTGCTGACGAATGGGAAAAAAACCCGCCGGGGGTGTCGAACATCTGGCTCCCTCCAAAGGGGCATCCACATCCGGCCGGAGAGGGTTGAGGGGGAGTCTGAGACCAAAGAAAGAGCTCCATTTGAAGGTTTGTTGCCTTTTTTTTGAGGGACCTTTGCAGGGCAGGTGGGGGGGAACAAAAAGAAACCACCCACCTGGGGGAATTGGCCCCCAATCTTGAGAGTTATACCCAAGGCTAAGTGTTGCAAAAGTGGGGCAATCACCCCATTGTGTAGCGAGGACCCAAGTTGATCCAATGTTCTCATCGCGTCAACTTGATTATACGGTTCGGTTCCAGTTTGGTTCTCATCAAACAAGCGGTGCGATACATGTTCCACAAGGGTCACTTGGACGGGGCCAAATTCTGATCTCAGTTTGGTTGAACATAGATAATTTTCATGGTTTCAGTTCTGTTATTTCTCAGACCCTCTTGGCAGAAGGTTCCTTTGGTTTCCTCGCCGTTTTCCGACTGTGCTCCATGCTTTGCTCGTTTCGCATGCTGAAGTTGCGATTGCAAGTTCATCTCGTGCCCCGTCGCCCCTTGTAGGGGCATGTCTTTTTGTTTCCAGGCAGGTTGAAAGGGATACCAAAAGGAACAACACCCTATTTGGAGACACACCTTTCAAATCGAACAATTCAAGGGGTTCTCAAAACTGCTCTTGTTGGGATGTGGGTTTTCTTTCGCTACCAAGAGGGTCATTTTGAAGATGTCACCGTCCCACATCTTTTGCCCAGCAGTCATAATCTGAGGTTTCACCACCAGACACCAGGACCAAACTTGCCCAAAGATGCGCCCGGCGGGGGGTGGGGGGGTGGTGAATGCACGATTTCTTTCGTGGCAAACGCCGATTCACATATGAGGGGTTTCCCAGTTTCTGCCACAACGATGGTGGAACCCACAAATTTGACGGGCAACGCCCCCAAAGGAGGCACCTTACAGCTAAATAGAACAAGCTCCAATAAAGAAATAGGTGAATGAGGCGAGTACAAGAGCTCTATGACTCACATGAGAGGTAAACGACCCCTCTGACTCACCTGAGACCTGAAAGATAGGCGAATGAGCCCTACGACTCTGATAGGTGCCCTGCGACTCGCACTCAGGGCTCCACTTTTTGACCCCAAGATAGACTTAAACCCAGGGCTTCTCCATGGGGAATGAACCACCCGTGGGTTGAAGCCTACACTTGTAGTCAAAAAGTGGAACCCTGGCCAAACGAAAACATGTCTTCGCCTGCGATGCTCCGAGCCTGAGGGTAGCCGCCTTCTTCGACCAGTTTGCGTACCCTTGTCACGTCTGCTCCCGGGAGCAACCTGAAACTTACCTGATGAGTTTCGTTTGGTCCACAGAAGCCTTATGTACTGTGGGCTGGTCACAAAATGCGCTAAACCACCAGTTGGTGGTTCAGTCAGTATCCACAAAAAGGGTTTCATTCATCACGGGATCGGAGTGGATTTTTGCAATCATTCAAACCGGGTGTTTCTATGGAACCTTTTCGGGGGATGGGGGTAGTTGAAAAAAACCACCGGGTTCCCTGGAGTCCGTACGGTTCCCAGCCTTAGGAACCGGATTCTTAGGAGCCCCCTTCTTGGACCACCCCCCCGAAGCAGGTTCCGTAAACAAGGCGTTGCTCAAACCCGGCCTGTTCGGCCGAAGTTCGGCTCCAACGGACGGAAGGTTTAAGGGGGTGGCCTCAGAAACCGGAGCCTTACCCTCTGCTCCATGGAAGGCCCAGCTGCAGCAGAGCTTGGAGCCCGCCAAGTTCATGGCCACCGTGGCCCGTACCCGGGAGGCGCGAGCCGGCGGCGGCGCCCGGCGCGAATCGTCTCTGGGGCGAGAAGGATCCGAGTGATTCGGCTCGTCTTCTTTTGTTTGAGTTGGGTTGGTTGGTTGGGTTGGTTGGGTTGGTTGGGT